TGTCACTGGATGTTAGGGATCAGCTGTCCTGCCAGATGTCATTGTATGGTATCAGGTTGACATTGATCCAATTTGAACTTTGCTGCACTCAAACAGTGTTCAATAATAACTGAAAGACATGGTAGCTATACAATGTCGACATAAACGGATACACATGCTATAACTCAATCTTTACAGCACAGAAAATAGAATGGGCAATGTTTTGTTAGGTATGGTACAAATCAAATATTATTGATTCTTTACTTCAAACAAAACAAAAAAAACACATAATGTAGAGACACCGTGACCCATAACACACACTACGAGTAGCCTACTCACAAATCCGGCCTCCAGGTCCCAGCACCAGCAGTAGTTAAGAAAGCGGACAATGACGGCTCGCAGAAAGTCACCCACCAGGATGGTCAAATAGCTCACCTGAATGTCCGACACGACCAGCTTCACAAATCCCTACACATCATCAGAAACCAACGAGAAAAGACGCAAAAGAAATAAGAAAAAATACAAACCTACCAATTAATTCAAATGATTGGTCTCTTCTGTTTGATTAATCGGAGGGTGAAGCAAAGGAATGATGCTGCAAACTGAGTAAAAATAATCGGTGTCTACTGCAGCTACTACTGTTTATACGCCCAGAATTTCTCATTCACCATTGGAAAACAGTATAATGCCACTACTGACTATTCCCACGGCATTCTCCCAGCAGGGTCCTCTGATGACGTCAGCTGGGGACACATTTGGAGGAGGCACATCTGTCGTGTTGAAGTGCGAGCTGTAGTTGGCGTAGTACTGTTCCAAAGCCCATATGGTGGCATTCCTGATGGACTTCTCGGTCTCCAGCTAAAGAATAGAAAATACGTCAAAGCATATGCAGCGCAACTCAAACTTTATTCACGTACCACAATTCACACCTACAGATATACACAGTTTGCCACCTTGATTTAAAGGAGTAGTCGCACATATCAGGAAATACTATTCACTTTCCGGTTGAGAGTTGGATGAGAAGCTCGATACCACTCTCAGCAAATTTCCCATTATGTCAAACTTTTGCTTTAAAGGTATCTGCTGTCACAACATCTGTAGCTGAACTGAGGGTTAGTACAGTATTTTAAAAGTGAGTCATTCTTATCTTAAATCGTTAAGTATCAAGGACAATTTATTCTATAACATATCCGACACCAGATCAAACGCAGAAAAGGTCTTACACGCAGCGAATGTTTCTTACCAATACAGGAGACAGCCCAAATTAAGCCCAAATATCTACAAACACACCAGCCCAGCAACAGGAACAAACACATATGTACAGACATATCCGTCGTACCTTTTCATTGACCTCATCAAACAGGGCGAAGAGGAAGGTGTAAAGGTTTCCCAGAAAGAGGGCAAAGATTCGTCCTAGCTGCCACTTGAGGGCGATACGAGGGTGATAATCTTCCAATTCTGCGATGGTTTCAAACAGAGGAGGACACACCAGCCCCAGCAGAGACATCACAAACTCCACCTGATACATTGGACAAGAGAGGGGGTTTACTGATCTCATTTTCACTCCCATTTTCAAGCCGCAACTCTCCAAAATCTCCTTATGTTATCTAAAAATACCACGTTTAATGTCCACCTGCCTCGTTTTTTTCAAGCCACGAGAGTTTGTCTTGCTCCATCTTAGCAAAGTTTTGCGAACGTTTCACTACAAAGTAGATGAGGTATCCGCTGCCTCCAAGAGTGCATGTGATCAGGAAGTTTGCCAGAACCCTGAGGAAGCGTCGGAGATGGATGTTTTCATCTTTCTGGTTCTCCTGCTCATCCACGATGGATTCCTACAGCAGGGCAAAATAAGTCGGTAAAAGGGAACAAACTTGTGATTACTTGAGATTTTTAACTTCTTTTCCATTTGCAAATTTCAGCAGTTTTCACATATAAAATTAAATATTTAATATATATATTTGGTATCGCAGGTTATTTCATGATGGAGTTTTCTATGTATGATTGTTAAATTCTTGTGCATCAAAGGAAATGTTTGCTTTTGTTACACTGCTTATCCTCCAATACAAATACACACACAAACACACACCTGCTAACCTTGAAGCTGGTGGTAATGGAGGCGTACTTATTGTCTGCAGTCTCTGGGTTTCCTATTAGGTAGTCCCAGCTGGTGAACATCTTCCAGCTGAAGGTGAATTCTCCCTCGTCTGCCCCGTCACCGCCTTCATTTGAGTTACGAGCCATTCTGAGAAGACAAAAAGACCACATTAAAAATACACAAACATCCCCGTTGTCATGTATACATGTACATCTGATTGTTTGTGTGTCTTGCCTTACGTTCTTATGACAACCATCAGGCTGTACCCAAAGATGCCAACTCCCACCAGCAGGTATGACAGAGGGAGTCTGAACTTCAGCACCCCGATCATTCGATCGCTGTTGTAGTAGCCGTAGAACAAAAAGGAGTACTGGCAGAATCCCTGTTTATAAGGTATTCAAAGATGCAAACTTCCAGACATGAATTACAACTACGCAAACAGGTGCTCAGAGCAACTTTCCCACGTTTTTAACAAGACTAAGAAAAGGTTAAAACATGGCAATCTTGATGAACAACAAGACATCTATGAGACTACAGCCATGCTATGAATAAACTGATGAATAAGGGCTTAGATCCTTACTCCAAAGTCAGAGAGCACAGAGAAGTCCATGGCTGTGTCCTGCTCCTGTCGAGGCACAGTTTTCCGGGGAATGGAGCCGTATGGAAGACCCATAAGAATCTAAACAGAGGAGAGGGATGGAAGTGAGAAAGGAGAGCTAAATAACATGTACAATGTCCTAATGTACCCAATGTGCACACTGTGCTAACATGAGAAAGGCTGTACCTCAGGCAGAACCACCAGGCCAAACATGAACCCAAACAGGACCATATTCAGACCGTACATCCACCTCAGGAAAATAAAGTAGGATGCCACAGATGATCCGAAGTGACCTATAATTAAGAGAACAGAAACCGGGTGGTATAACAAACAGTGAGGTCGTAGCTCAGTGTTTATTTTCCAATGATGTCATAGCGGTACCAACTTTCTACGTCCTTGATCTTCCTCTCCCAGGGTATACAGGCTGTTTTGAAGTTCTCAAAGTCACGTTTGAACTTGATTAGTTTCTGAAAAAAAAAAAAAAAGGTTTGAAATCTCCCCAATATCATCTTCCTTCTAAAGTTGTATTAAGTGCAAAATGAGCAGATTACTTTGGCTATCATGACTTTGAATGCATACAGCTTCCTTCCTTTTCCTTTCCCAAGAGCTCCTTCAAATTCTTCAACAAACCCCTGCGCCTCCCTGTTTGACCATTCAGAGGAAACATCCACCAATGAGATAAAGTGTGCAACACACAAATGAAAAACACAATCTACCTAACCAATGACTTAATTAGTCAGTGGCAACAGGAAAAAAACGACAGGATTGGGATGATTTACTGATTGATGGCGGTTCTAAGGTAAGAGTATCGGAAGGAAGACTTGGCAAGCAGCAGGTCAGTAGCCACAACATGCATTAAACAGTGTCAAGCTCATGAAAAAGTTAAAGCAGTTCACCTATCGGGTTGCTTACACTGATCTGTACATAGAGAAACATACACACCGAGTACACACACACTATTAGCCCTTGCAAGGCAGCTGGTAATGTCTTCTCACACTGAGAGGAGGATGTGTAACAGGCTAAACTACAGCCAACTGTGTGGGTGCTGGTGTTGTTTAGTTTATCTGAGATTTACGACTGTATTCATTTGTCTTCTGTACATCTTACAGGAGGGAGAAGTTACATAATTTAATACATATGTGAATGTTGATGAACAAAGGCTGGGATCTAATCATTATCCGAGTTTCCGGGCTGTGTTTCGCGATGAGTGCTTTTTTAGAATTAAATTTATCTAAGAGTGTCATGATGTCGGAGCTCAGTTCTGCAAATGTCCAGTTTTCCAAAAGCATGTTGGCTTTGATTTGCAATATGACATCACTGACAGAGAGAAGTTCAAAACCACTAGCGATGAACATGTTTTAATAATGAATGATCAACATCACATGTATATGACATGAGTGATGGCAGGCATTTAGGAAGGTGGTCCTAAGAAATAGTCAATGACCAAAAAAACAAATGACTTAACAAACAAAAAGACATGAAGAACAAAATGCAGTCACCAAAATGTGCAGTAATCACAGATAAACAAGCAGAGGATGTGAGTTTTTGTTTTTACTTGAGCAGCACAAGTCTCCTCTTCATGCGCCAAGGTTTGTTCCTTAACGTAGCGATAAGTTTCTTCTTCTCCTCTACCTGTTCCTTCAGGGCTGCGATCTCTCCCTCCGACAGTGATTCTTCATCAGAATCAGAGGAGGAGGAGGAGGAGGAGGAAGAGCTGATAAAGGGAAAGAGCTGTCACATGCCATGGCTTTGACAAGGCACCAGTCACAATAATACCAGTTTGTTTTATTGTGTTGTTTTTGTGTATCTTGTTTTTTGAAATTACTTTTGGGGCTCCAAAGTTTTGTGCTACAGTTTGACATTAATATTCAGTTTTATATCATTGACATCTGTGATATCACATTTGTAAGAACATATTGAGCTCTGTGAGATAAGACAAGAATCTACCTTAATTATTCTAGATTTTTTCATAAAGCTTAATAAATTGAACCTTGGATGAATCTCTTTTCATTTTAAAAATATGTGTTTATCACCAAATACCTGCAAAACTAATGACATTCCCATCAGCCTCAGATGTGTTTAGTGCTGGTTAGCAAATGTTAGCATGTTATCACGTTACCATAAGGTTGCAAACATAGTTAAACATTATGCTTTCAGCGTGTTGGCATGCTGATATTAGCATTTAGCTCAAAGTTCTGTACAGTGCAATTAAGGAGTACAGTAAGTCTCAAGGTCCGACCACATCTGAAGGGAAAAATGTTTCGAAGGCCAGGTGAAAAAGCCTAAATACGTGGATATACCACTTTTTCAGGCTGGAAGACATTTCATTTTGCTCAATGAAGCGGGTGTGAATGTTGGATGGTCAGTTTTAGAAAATTATAGAGAGGTCCAGACACCGCCCATATAATACATTTTTCTTTATGGCAGCATGTGTTGCTCTTTTGTGATTTTCAAATAGAATACACAATGGCTTTAAAGTCAATGTCAATGTCAAATGACATGACAATCTGTAAGTAATTTAGAGTGCAATAACACCACCATTCTTGCTTTTTTGTGTGTCATTTTACACCATGTAGTCTAAACTTACTGCAATCTAAACGCATACGCCGAAATATGCCAACTAAGTAACGTAGTATAAATTTTTTGTAAAGTTCTACACAAATTAAGCTATTGCATTCAATTATTTTAAAGAGCAGGTATAAGAGTCAATTCATCAGCTTTTTTACTAGATAGTCAGAGCTGGAAGTTAGCGATATTTAATATGCAGCCAACTCCCAAACACCCAATGAAACAGTAGGCAGATCTGGTGTCTCGGGATGTTTTGTCCTCTTGCCTTTATTTTAAGGCAGCAGTAGGCTAAATAATGGATGAACAAATGAGATCACGCCATCCATCACAGCAGCCACAAATCTGCAACACGTAAACTTCATCATGCTGCACATTTGGTTGGTGATGGACATACCAGCCCTTATTCTTTCTCAGTACGTGAACAGCATCTGACTGCTGACTGCTATGGCGATTGTGGCTAAGTGGACAGCAGGGCCATCTTTCAATCAGATGGTTGGTGGTTCGAGCTCCAGCTCCAATAGTTGCATGTCGATGTGTCCTTGAGCAAGACACTTAACCCCAAAATTGCTCCTGTAGCTGTGCCTACGGTGTAGAAATGTGATAGACTCTGAATTGTCAGTTGCTTTGGATGAAAGCATCTGCTAAATGACTGTAACATTATACTACTATCTACTATAACCTGTCAAATCAACCAGATAAACTCTAAATCCCATATATTCAGGCAAACAAGTGAGTATTCTATGTTGTAATAATATTGAAGTAACACCGTTAATGTTTCATCTCCCTGAACATATATCTTCATATCATCAGAGTCTGCCAGAGGTCTGCATGAGACTGAATGAAGAAAGCCCATACAGGTGTGTGGAGCGTGCAGGTAGGCGAGAGTCAGCTCTCAGAGAATACTGCACCTGCTCAACTTCCCATTCTTCTTTTTCTTGTCATTCTCACCACCTATATTCTTCCCTTGTTTCCCTTTAAAATTTCCCATCTTCTGTTTGTTCTGCTCCTCTTTCTCCTTTTTGGACACGGCCGTCCCTCGCTTTTTACGTTTCTCTCTGTCTTCTTCGCTCTCCTCCTCGCTTTCTTCTTTAGCTTTCTTCCTGGAGGCTTTTGAACGTTTTCTTTTCACACTCCGGTTGTCTTCCTCATCCTCTTCATCGCTTTCCTGCGGCTTGGCCTTCTTCTTTCTTATTCTTTTCCTTGGTGCCTCATCATCCTCATCCTCCTCATGATCGCTGACTGGTTTGGATTTACGTTGTGGTTTGGCTCTTCTGTTTTTAGCCCTCCGCCTTGCCTCATCTGAAACAAACATTTACATTTCAGATAAGTAGCTGAAAGCTTGTTCAAAGTACAATAATAAAGTGTACAAATATCCTCTGAAATGATTCCAGTCAGTTTTTATAAAAGAGGAAACTTGGTCAAAAGTTGTAAATATTCTTGAAGAACAGAGACGGAAGAGGTAAAAATGAGCAGTAATTTACACTTGTTTGGCATCACATCACCACATTGTGGCAAATCTTAAAGACATAGTCATACCTTGTTCAATTTAACTGCTTCTCTGATGAAAAGCAAACAAACTCACCTTCACTTCCACTGTCTGATGCAACATCAATTTCCATCCCAACTGTGAACACAAATTTAGGGGATTCATCTCAACAAAAAAGATATTTACCACTAAACAATTTAATTTTACTTCAATAAAATAAAAGTGAATATTAAAAGCTAAAAGTTGTTAGAAACAATTAAAGACAGCTCTTATTTAGCAAAATAGAGTAAAAAAAATCTTACCATCTTCAACCTTAATTGCAGCATCGTTTTTCCTCTTTGGAGGCATTTTGCTGCGTCTCTATAACTTATTTCCTGTTAGTCCTCTGCTCACTTCAGACTATGTCTCATCTCCATCCATGTGTCACGCGGTGCAATGGGCTGTTACACTTGTGAAGGTACTGTGTCAGAAAGCCAGGATACACCCCCTCGCACACACACACACACACGCACACACATGCAGGAACAGGTGCTCCTCTGTTTAGGCTGTTCAAAGACTGGGCTCCTTGACGACCGTCAATGACAACACAGTTCAGAAGATAATCAGGATGCCGGGAGAAAAAACCGGGTCAGACAATGGACTTGTCTATCAAAATGCTAATTGTTTTTCACTGGAGCAATAGGAGCTTGGATACAGTCCACCTGCTTTAATCCTCAAGTTTATTCAAACTGGATAGTGGCTAATAACTTGTATCGTTGTCATATAATGGGTGTGATTATATGAGGAAACGATGCACCAAAAATTAATGGTTGGATAAGTGCCATCACTCACTTGTGAGACAGAAAGGAGACACCAGAGCAAATGTTGACATAGAGGACAAGCCCTCATTAAAGTTAGATGAAAGCTTAAGTAATCCTGAGTGAAAAGTGAAACAAGTCACTCTATTTAAATACTGTACAGAGTCTTCTGTGGAAGCACACTGCAAACTGAACACACAGGAGTACCTCCAGTGATTCTCTAACTTCACTAACAGTGTTTTATGAAAGGGACAAGTCTGTCAGTTTTACAAGCTGTTTATTAAAGGATAGGTTCACATGTGTTCAAGTCCACCTTAAAAACAATACTCACAAGCCCATATGTACATTAAAAGACCTCATTGTGTTCCATAGCTCAACATGGAAACACTTCCTACAAAAAGACTGATTGTGTCTTTGGAAAATACGTGCTTGATTTGACCAACTCAGACTGCTGAAGCCTCATTCATATTAGTCATGTTCCATTCTGCCATTGGTTTAGGGCAGACTTTAAAAATGTCACCAATATCCTTTTATTAAGAGCTAGAAATGAGGACTGAGGGATGAACAATGTTGCCTATGCTCCTATTATGTGTTTCAACCTGTATAGTTATGGTCAAATGCTTGAATAACACAGGAGGAAACATGAGATGCCTGGCAGCTATGCTGCTAACAGAGAGAGCAACACACTTCCGGAAGTTATATTCATGATTGTTTACGTGTACCTGAAAGACAAGCTAAGCCCTCTGGCTTGCAGCTTTTCATGTCCTCCTCATCCAGCTCCTCCTCTCACTCCTCCCCTTGTTGTCCCCTCCCCTCCTGCAACCATTCAATATTCCTCTTCATCTTTTCTTCTCACTATACTGGATTGCAGCTTACAGAATCTTTCAATGGATTTATTTTTTAAGATCCATGAAATTGTTTGTCTAACTTTCCACAAGTCCACACTCTGTGACAACCTTTGCTCTCCAAAGCAAACCTGTACAATGTCCCAGCAGTCAAATCAGTGCTTGAAGCGCCGCAATGTCTCGATCCTCCCTTCACCGTTAGGGAATAAGAGATCCCCATCGTGATACAGCGGACATTGAGATATCCGGTAATGTGTAACCCGTCATGGCTCAGTTTTCTGCTACACTGTACCAGCATGCAGGGAGACTGGGATGGAGCCAAAACACAACTCCAGTGACAGGGTGACACAGCGGGCATCAGGGGGTTGGTATTACCTGGATAAATAAGAGTGAGGCTTATTGTGACAGCATCTCCAGCATACAGATAAGATGAAGGCTTTACTCAGTCTTCCTCAGTCTTTATTAAATAATGTGATTGACATTTCTTGGCCAACGATGAAAGAATAAAGCATGGAGGCTTACTCCATCTCCTAGTTCTCAAATAGCTGCAGAGATTAATACTTAATGCATTTGTCATGAATTGATCATGAGCATCAATGGAAGTGGATTTGATTGGCACTGAAATTCAACGTCAGTGGAACTATGAGCTTGTTGACTTGTTGTCTTAAATGATTTAGACAACAACACTTATTCCTCAATAACAACCCTTAGATTGCTCATCTTCAATTTCAATTGAACAAGACTTTGAATATATAGGATTTCAGGTTAATAAAGTTTCACTAATGAGACAACACAGGTCAGCTAAATGAGAGGTTGATTGACAGGAGTGCAGATCAGAATCAGCTACTGGGACACTGGATATGACCATGCGGTTATCAGATGATACGAATCATGATACATGATGATGGTCTGGAGATCACAGTGAATGGATTCACACTGACAGCTCAAATCTGAATGCTTGGCAAAGATTGAATTTCTTTCATTTATGTCCGAAAAAAAGAATGATCTGACACTCTTTATTTGTGTTTTCCAAGTTCAGAGCAGTGTATCATATCATTATGTAACGGCTGTAAAGTTGAGGGTACAAGTCCAGCCAGCGATGAATAAGAGGTCCGTTTAAGCCTTGCAAGGTTAAATGACCTCCATGTCTAATGAATTGTGTAATGCTTTGGCCCAGTCACAGGTCCAGGGACACTTGTTCTCAGTGTCTTAGTTTGAGAGGAAGAAGAGAAAAATATATGTCAGTGTGATTTTAAATGATTGGAATTTTGAATAGAACTAGTTAGGAAACTGAAAGATCAGTAGGATTAAAGTTAAGATGGTTATTGCATGTGTTGTTATCTTCTATCATAAAATGTGTGTAGAATGAATAAAAAATAAATTGATACAATTTAGAAAAACAACACCTCCATGTCCAGCCCTGATTCCTCAATCATGTCATGAAAATAATTGGCTGGAAGTGATGAGTTGCTGTGATATCAAAGATTAGGCCAAGCAGACCTAATCTAGAGACCTCCGTAAACCACAATCTGCACACCTGGCTATAGCCAATGTAGCATAAAGACACGCCAACAGTTTTCCTGTTTAATGCTGCATAGAAGTAAAATTGTCAGTTTCTTCAAATTTAAAATGAATTTACAATTTAAGGCAGATTTTATTTACTAATTTATTGATCGGTGGTTTCAAAAGACACGCGACATATTCAGTGCAATTCAACATTTAAAGATATTCTGTTCTTGTTAACGTCATGGTAAACAAAGCAACAACTTCTCATTTTAAATGCTTTTTTTTAATCAAGAACACAGTTTTAAACAAAAAAACACTTTTATTGAGGAGAAAATGTGCACCAACTGACTAACTTCCCATTACGTGAATTTCTTCATAAAGTGCTTGATATTTTGAGTGATATTTGCTGACATACTGATTTTCATTCCCTCAGTGTCTCTGCAGACTCGGCACCCTGTGCATCCTGGGTTCAATTTGCCGAGGGAAACCGGGCAGATACCCAGGAGCCCCGTGGTTTTCATGCTGATAGGACCTGGGGACAGGGGCTCTGGTGGCTGGAAGTTGGCCTTCTTGTTCTCTGACTGAAGGAGGAGCATGGCGTCCATTCTTACCGTGATGTAACCTCTGACTACTACTGTGGTCTTCTTCTTCATCTGCTGAATGAGAAGGAAATAATTGTTTCACTTATCAACCATACATACTGCCGTAGCATCACTGTATATCTCTCGTAAAAGTAGCGGTTAGGTAAAGTTTTGTCAAGAACAAGCTAACAGCATTAGCTATGGCTACTTGGGAGTAACGGGAAAATATTAAATAGGGCAGAAAAATGATTAAATGTGTGCCGAGAAAAAAAAGTGAAAAAAAAATCTTTGCCAACTGATTGGAGGTTAATTAAAGAAAAAGTATGAAGCTTGTATTTCTTTTCAAATTATTCAATAATTTAGGATGTTGTCAGTTTCAGGGCTCCATAGTTTGAGACCCAAAGTATGTTTTGTAATCAAAGTTCAACAGATTTTTGTTTTTGTTTAAATTTGATCTTTCTTTTTATCCCAATATACAGAATGATCTGGGTTTTTTCTATTGTCTAGAATAAAAAAGCCTCACACTCTTGGTCTTGTTGTGAAGCATTGTTGTTCTTTTGTTGCTTTGCAGTCTGTGATGAAGCTTTTCTGGCCTCTTCTAGATCCATTTGTGCCTTCAGCGCTGCTAGTTTCTTCTTTTTCTTGTTCTCCTCATTTTGCTTGAAAAGGACATACAATGAATTATTATAAGACAAGAGTCAAGAAACCACCGTAAAGTGTAGAAATGTAGAATAAGGCATACAGAAATGTACATCAGTTGTTAAATTGCTAAATTTCAACCGCTGCTCTTGACAAGCTCTTTGGACAGATAGGAGCTGTTCCTCTGCTGCTCTCTGCTGGATTAATGATACTAATACAACTACTGTGGCCACAGTTTGTGCATCTGCGCACTGTTGGGAAGTTTGAAAGCTGATAGAAAAAAATGAATTGTGAAGGACACACAAATAAAAAGCATGAAAGTTCCTGTTAATTTCTTACCTTTACCTGCCTGAAATTGAATTGCATCTCTTTCTTTCGAATGTTAAAGGATGCCATTGTGACATACTGTATGTATCTATGAGCGTCATTCATGTGAAATTTCCAAGTACGAACTTTAGTTATTCTAGCATACCTAAAAGCACATTAAAGCTAGAGTGCTGGATAAGAGAGGGGAAATTAATTTTGGGTTACCGTTTGTAGTTTTTTCTTCAGTTCCACATTAGCTTCTTTGTAGCTTTTGGATGTAGATTGCAAGTAATAAATGGCCAGTCTGAAAGATAAGATAACAGATTATTAGCATCAAAGAACCTTAAACTTTACCACTAAAAGGAAGTGTTGACAACATGGTCATGTAATTTAACTTAGGCTGTGCAGAATAATATTAGTCTGCTGTTGACTCACACCATAAGCAATATGAAGGGTAGCACCAGTCCAGGGTTAGAGACATAGCTGAACACTTTACCAAACCAGGCAGGGAAGTCCGACTCAAGAGTCTCCTGGATCACATCAAACATACGTTTTTTCCCACTGAGGACAAGAGAATGATTGTGACGGAAGGTCAAGTAATCAAATTGAAAATGTCAGATCCCTTGAACTATAGCATCATTACCTGAAGGGTCCACAGTCAAAGGAAGGGGGGATGGTGACGATGGTGTAGATGGCAGGCAGAGTGGACAGGAAGAGGATGACCAGCAACATGGC